TCTAAATGTTTCACAAGAATTCCCCAGTGACACTATCTGGTCCAGGACTATTTTTGTTGGGAGGTTTTTTAATCACTGATTTGATAAGATAATCTTTTAATAGAAATGCATTTTTAAGTATTTATCTAGTTTATTTATTATGCTCCCATCACTTTGGGCACATCAAATAAGTACATTGTTTAATTGTGCTCTTACAGTTCCTCCTTCCACATTATAGTAATTTTCATTTACTCAAGAGAATAGTTAATGAACATGATTTTCCATTCAACCAATTTATTAACTATCAGTTCATAGTCAATCTTGTTTAATTTATATTCCCACAGTTTCCCCATGATCCTAGTTGTTTTAAACCCAAACCAACCCTTTGTTGCCATTGAATCAACTGTTAGTGATGCTACAAGACAATAGAATTGCCACATGGGGTTTCCAAACCTGTAATCTTTACAGAAGCAGACTGCCACGTATTTCCCCCAGGGAGTAGCTAATGGGTTTGAACCACCAACCTTTTCAGTTAGTAGCCAAGTGCTTAAACACTGTGCCGCCAGCGTTTTAACCACTGTGCCACCAGCTCCTTAGTTATTGTTTTAATTGTTATTATATTTCCAGTTGGAGAAAATCCTAGCTATTGTTTCATTTCATCCACATATAATTTTTTTAATGTTTTATTATGAATTATGTGATAGTTTACATGGGAGAACATTAGTTTTACACTCATTCTATCATATATCATTCCATTGCCATGGTTACAATCCCCTCCATGCATCATCAACCAACCATCCACATATAATTTTGTATGTGTCTCTAAATGTTAATAACTTAAAAAGCCCCATGCCCACACAATACAATCATGTTATTGTTAGTTGCAGTTCAGTCAGTGACTCGTGGTGACCTCACATACAACAGAGCTGTCATCTTCATAACCGTTGGTATGCTGGATTTCATTGATGTGGCTGCTGTGTATTTTGGACAAGGGTTGCTGTTCTTGTTGTTAAGTGCCACTGAGCTGGTTCTGACTCATAGTGACCCTATATAGGGTTTCCGAGAAGTGGCTGGTGAGTTTGAAATGCCAACCTTGCGATTCAAACCGACTTTGCAGTCCAGTGCATTAACCCATAGCGGCCACACCAGGATTCCTAGAGGTTTTGTTGTTGTTAAGCGCTGTCGAGTCGGTTCTGACCCATAGCGACCCTGTATAGGGTTTTTGAGGAGCAACTGGTGAGCTTGAACTGCCGACCTTGCAGCTCAAACAGCTTTGCAGTCTGGCGTATTAACCCACAGCGCCACAGAGATGCAAATACTACCTTCACAAGTACACAGACCTAAATGGAGGATATATATAGAAACAATAGCTTCCCATTTTGATATTCTTGTTTAATAAAGGTTTCTATGATTTTGTGACTTTTTGGTTTATCCTTATGTGCATGTGTGTGCGTGCATGCGTACACACACTCAGAGGGCAAAGCCAAAAAGTATTGCTACTAGGGTTCCAGTAAATATATGCATAGGCTTATTCCAAATAAAACATGTTTAAACATCTACCATCAGTGGATGGCTGCAGACAAGTTCTTTCAGTAATACACTTGTCTTAAGTCTCAGGGTGCCTTCAAAAAAAGGTTCAATCAAAATAGTTCTGAGATCTGCTGGGTCTGTTCAATTCAAGGCAGAGGTCAGCTCAGAAAGCTATGGAGACTGTATTTTGGAATTCCAAGGGGGTAATCTTGATAGATTTTCATGGCTACAGGGTGATCACAAGGGTTTATTAATTAGTTTTTAGAAAATTGAATGCCACATTGGTGAGACAAAGGCCCAAAAACTTGTACTCAGAATATTTCCCCCCCATCACAACAATGCACCTGCTCATTCTTTGAGGGTAGCGAGGACTCTTATGGAGAATTTTATTGGGAAACCTTACCCCCTGTACCCTACAGCCCTGATCTTGTCCTTTCTGACTCTCTTTGGCTTCCCAAACTCGGAGAACATTGAAAAGAAACAGTTTGAGAGCTTAGATAATGTCCACACTGCCATTTTAATGTGGTGTAAATCCAAGAGCACAGAATTCTTCGGGGAAGGGTTGTTGTTGACTCCTAGTGACCCTGTATAGGGTTTCTGAGGAGCGGCTGGTAAGTTTGAAATAGCAACCTTGCAGTTCAAACCATCCTTTTGGCCCAGTGCTTATCCTACAGCTCCATACCAGGACTGAGGGAAGGGTTAGCGAGATGGAGATCCCACCTTTAGTAGTGTTCAGGCCTAGATGGAGGAGATGTGAGAAACTGTACTTCCCATTTTGATATAGTTGATAAAGGTTTTGATGATTTTGGAACTTACCTGTATTAACTTAAAAAAATTTTCAAAGTGACTTTTAATTAATATTTTAATTATAAAATACATGAATACATGCTCAAGTAAAAAATTAAAAATTAAGATTAAGAAATAAGTATATTGATTTAATTGTAGAAGTTTTCCTCCACCCCCATACTTTCTACTCTCCCCTACAGTCTGTATACCAGAGGTAAATATCTTTTATAATTCTTATATTCTTTCAAACTTTTGCTATACATTTATATACCTATGCTTCTGTTATGATTTATAGCCTTGGAAACTCTATGGGGTAGTCTACTCAGTTTTAAAGGGTCAACTCAGTCAATGACAGAAGTTTCATCTACACATATTCATATATAAGTGCACATCTGTATGACTGTGGGCATATTCTACATGTTGTTTTATATTTATGTTTTAAAGATATTTATACATCAATATGTACAGATCTCATTTGCTTTAATGGTTTTAAAATATTCCACTGCATGGACAGACCATATTCTGTGAGATCATTTATATATTGGTGAACATTTAAATATATGTTCATACATTTTTCTATAGTTTTGTATATAGAATTCTAGAAGTAGAATCAATTGGGTCAAAAGCATATGCATTAAAATTTTAACAAATACTGACAAATTGAATAATTTATCATAATACCAGTTTCTCCTATATTCATCAACATTGGAAATTCGTTGTTTTTTCCAATCTGATGCATAAAAAATTACTTTAATGAGTTTCCTAGATAATGACAGATGGTTCATCTATGCATATTCATATATAAGTGCACATCTGTATGACTGTGGGCATATTCTAAATGTTGCTTTATATTTATTTTTAAAGATATTTATACATTGATATGAATAGTGATATCCATTTATTATTCATGTAGCAAATACTTCCTCTTTTTCTACCACTTGGATTTTATTATTTAAATGGTGTCTTTTACCATCTAGAAATTTCCAATTTTTATGTGGTCAAATCTGGCAATTAAAAATCATTTGGATTTTATGTCTTGTTTAGTCTTCTTTAAAATTCAAAAAAAAAAATGGTTGCTTCTATTTTTCTCTAATGCTTTTATAATTTTTTAAAAAAAATTCCCTCTGTGATTTTGTTGACTTTTTTCCCCAAATGGCTAATTATCCTTTTCATACATTTTTGAAGAGAAACTTTTGTCATATCCTATGTTCTCATATATTTTTGTTCATTGTTAGACTTTATTTTACTCTGTTTATCTTTTTTTCTTCTTAAATCTTCTGGCAATACTACACTATTTTAATTACTTTGATTTGAAAGTGCAGTGTATTTCTGGATGTCAGAAGAGACTCTGAAACTTGTTCTTGAAATCAGTGAATAGAAGATCTAATGAAATAGAAAAGCTGAACAGAAGATTTCAAAAGGTGGCTGAGAAGATAAAGTATTACAATGAAATGTGCAAATATCTGAATTTAGAAAATCAAGAGGGAAGTACATGCTCAGCATTTCTCAAGCTGAAAGAACTGAAGAAAAAGTTCAAGCTCCTTGTTGCAGTATGAAGGATTTTATGAGGAAAATATGGTACAACTCAGAAAACATCAAAAGAAGATGGAAGAACACACAGAGTCACTGTACCAAAAAGCACTGCTTGATGTTCAGCCATTACAGGGTAGCATATGACCATGAACTGATGGTATAGAAGGAAGAAGTCCAAGCTGCACTGAAGGCACTGGCTGGGGTGGGGTGGGGGAAATAGTCTCCAGAAATTGAACATAATAAAATAAATGAACACAAAACATTATTTCAGTTTACTTGAAAGGGAAGATAAATTGCATTTAAGTGAAAATACACAGAAAAGATATGTACAGTTAGGCATACGCTGTAAGTTTTGTGTTAGGTTAACGATTATGAATGGACTTTAGCAGTACTGAAAAGTTTTGCGTATGTCTAGTGTGGCTCGTTCAAAACTTTGTCTGAAATGAACAAGATGTCACAAAAATATAGTATCAAAAATGTCCCTGAGGTTAGAAATGATTATACTTATTACACACAAATATTTACTTATCCCCTTAAGACATGTTGCCTCTTTTCTTTTGCAAAGCTTTCATGAGATCTGACATAAAATCTTGCTCCCCACTTGCTCCTCCACTGGGTGGGCCCGGGGTGTCTTGCCTTTTCGGGGGATTGGGAGGTCTTTTGGCAACAGAGGGTGGTGTCGGCCGGAATTCAGGGGTGAGGGTGGGTGGGGGCGGAGGAGGAGGCGGTAAAGCCTCCGTGCACTCAGGCATCTCAGGCGGTGGGGGAGGCACAAAGTCTGGAGGTGCTTCGTGGAAATCCTGGGGCGGCGGTGGCAGGTCCTCCTCCTCCAGGGGCGGCGGCGGCGGGGGCGGCGGCAGAAACTCTTCCGGTGGGGCTGGGAAACCGCTGGCACTGCTCCTGGCCTTGGAGGGCAAAGTGGGGCTGCAGTTGACATCTGATGATCTTCGCACAGGTGGGGGCGGTGGCTTGCTGGCTTTGAGAATGTGATTGGCTTTGGGTGCTCTGGGGTTGTGATTACCAAGCGCTGGCCCATTATCCTTCAACAAAGCAACAACAGCATTATTCCTGATGCCATTTTCACTGACTTGTGAAATCTAAGTGATTTAGGCCATGGGAGCCCCCCCAGGAGCAGTAATCAGCCTTTAAGACTATGCATTTTCATGAACTCCTTTGTGCTCTGGGATAACTCCAAATGGGCATTAACCTTACTAAGTGTGGGCTCTAATCCCATGTCTTCTGTAAATGACTCCACACTAAATCCATTACCGTTGAGTCAATCTGGCTCATAGTCACTCTATGTTGGAGTTCCTAGACTATAATCTTTTTTTTTTTTTTTTAAATTGTGAATTACATGATAGTTTACATGGGAGAACATTAGCTTTACAGTCATCTTATTATCATATATCGTTTCATATGCATGGTTACAATCCCCTCCATGCATCATCAACCAACCAAAGGGTATACCCTGCAAACCTGCCCCACTCCACCCCTGGTTGTCAGCACACAACCCCTCTCCCTCTCTGGGTTTAGAGTCCCCAGCCTTTCCAAATCTCCAAGTCATCGTCATCATCTCTGCCTCTATCTGTGGCGTCAATGCTTCTGGGCAGGGTCCTGCTCTCTGCTCTTTTCACTTGATGGTCCCAGGGACCTCTGTTCCTAGACTGCAAAGTCAATCACTCCCCTCCTTTTGCTACAAAACTCTATCTTTACATTTCTAACCCTCACAATCAGTCCTGATAACAATTATTCACTACTGTATCACAAGAGACCTATCTGCATCTCCTTTCATCAGCTCCACCCAGACAGGTTGGATACTACTCAGTGGAGATTCTACCTTCCTCCACATCCTCTGGATCTAGGCTCCTTTTGAAAGCTTGTAAGCCAGTCACTTCTTGCCTTTGTACACCACCCCCTCACCCACCCAATTTTGGGTAGTGTCCAAGTTGCCCATCCCTGTCTACTCTGTGTATAGAGGGGGTGGGAATGATCCTTGCTGTAAAGATTTGTTCCCTTTTTTGAGCTACTGCATCCATAGGTGTAGGTCAAGTTCATCAAATTGTATCAGATTACTCTTTTTTTCATAGGCTACAGTTAAGGGAGCAGAAAGTCTCCTCTTTTTCCAGAGGATTGGTGGTTAGCAGCCCAATGCATAACCCTCTGTGCCACCATGGCTCCTTTCTGTAAATGAAAGACTGCCGTATTCAGTCAGGTGTGTATTATATTCAGACTGGACACACAACTCCTTGGAACCCACCTTATACAGGAGTTACCATTTGTCTCTAAAAGGGTACAGAGCTTAGCTACCTGTGGTTATCTGTCTTTTCCTACCAGCTCAGCCTATGGTCCTTGGGTGGTGGCAACTAGTCTGTGCTCCTTTACTAATCTAAAAATTGGCATTTGGACCCACCCAGCAGCACCTCAGAAGAAAGTCCTGGTGATCTGCTTCTATAAAGACTACAGTCAAGAAAAAACCCTATGGAAGAGGTCAAGTCTAACACACAGGGTTGCCAGGAGATGGAATGAACTCAAAAGCAATGGGTCTGGTTTTGGGTTTGTGGTTCAGCCTAAGGCAACTCAAAATGGAGTCAAAGTCACTTTCCTGGACTTTCCCCTCTCTCCTTAGTTCCAAAGATATACCATGCCACCATGGCCTTAAGAATACACAAAAGATATTCTTGGTGTGCGTTAAACTGGTTGTGAAGATCAGTTGTCAGGTGTTACTGCTGATGTTAGGTGCTGTCAAGTACATTCTGATTCATAGCCACCCTATATAGGGTTTCCAAGGCAACTGGTGGATTTGAACTGTCGACCTGTGGTTAGCAGTCCAGTGATTACCCTGTAGCACCACACCAAGTATGTTGTTGTTGTTAATTGCCGTCGAGTCGATTCCGACCCATAACGACCCTGTGTAGGGTTTCCAAGGAGCAGCTAGTGAGCTTGAACCGCCGACTTTGCAGTTCAAACGGCTTTGCAGTCTGGCACATTAACTCACAGCGCCACACCCAGGTGTAGGTATGTGCAAAATTATTTTGTGCCATCCCTTCAGTAGCTGTTGTTAAGTGCCATTGAGTTGGTTCCAATTCATACTGACCCTGTATAGGGTTTCCAAGGAACGACTGGTGGGTTTGAACCTCCAACCTGTGGTTTGCAGTCCAGTGTTTATCCTACAGCACCACACCAAGATTCCTGAGTAGTAAAGGTGGTTAGCCAAAACCAAACTAAACCAGCTGCCATCAAGTCCATTTCAGTTCATGGCAACCCAGTGTTTGCCAAACTAAAACTGTGCTCCATAGGGTTTTCAATGGCTGACTTTTTGGAAGTTGATTGCACCTTTTGATGGACTCAAACTTCCAACCTTGTGATTGGCAGTCAAGCACTTAACTGTTTCTACCACCCAGAGACCAGAGGTGGTTAAGGAACTGCCTAAATCTTGTCCACAAAGCCTCCTGATTTAAATGACCTACTTTGCTAAGACAAAGAAGGTGCAAGGAATGAAGTAAAAGGATATAATTCTTTCTGGACTAAAGGTAACCTTTGGGTAAACCTGAGTACAAAGGATATCTTTCTGGTAAAGCATTTGTTTCCCCAGTCCTTGCTAGGAAATACAACGTCTCCTTGTATCAGCATTCTAAGAACAAAGGTCCAGGACTTGGATCTCTAGGGAGGAGCCAATTATAAACCCCACACCTTCTGGCACACCAGCTCCGGGCAAGGCAGAGGGATAGACCAGGAATCAGAAGACCTGGTCTTGGATTTTCCATTACTTAACTGTGAAAGTGAGCTGATTAATCAAGTATAAAATGAGCATCATAATTCATATAGTAATCTATGTCTCAAAGTTGTGTGAAAACAAGTGAGATCATTCTGAAAACTTACAATGCATGTGCAATTGGTAGAAATCAGGCCACCAAGTTTGACTCAAGGTTAATTGAGACATGTCCCTGGGTGGTACACATGGTTCAGTGGAAAGGTTGGCAGCACTTAGGACCCCCACCCAGAGGCACCTTGAAAGAAAGCCTTGGTGGTCTGCTTCTGAAAAGCCACAGCCTTGAAAACCCTATGGAGCAGTTCTACTCTGCACATATGGGATGGAATCTATCTCATAGCAACATCATTTACAGAAGCTATGGGATTAATACCTACATGGAGTACTGTCAAAGACCATTTGGAAACATCCGGTACAGGACAACTGTAGAACTGACAGCTGAGTTTCACATCCAGCTCAACTCATCCCAAGAAGAAGTTTTCTCTTTTGCATATGCCTAGGACCCTCTCTTTAGAACTAAGCAATGAATGGGAAGTTGCTGTCAGGCACCATCAAGTTGACTTTTGACTCATAGTGACCTATGAGACAGTGGAATTGCTCCATAAGATTTTCTTGACTGTAATCTTTACGAGTAGATTTCCAGGTCTTTCTCCCATTAATTGACTGTTGTTTTTGTTGTTGTTTAGTGACGTCAGGTTGGTTCTGATCCATAACGACCCTGTATGTTTTTCCGAGGAGCTGATAGTGAGTTTGAACCATTGACCTTGCAATTCAAAATGACCTTGCAGTCAAGTGCTTATCCTACAAGTGCCACACTAGGACTCCTGGATAGATAATAATAATACAGATTAACATAATGCAGTGTCCTCAAGAATTTTAGGCAGCTAAATTGAATCCTTCAATGTTTTAGTGATATTCAATTTATAGTTTATCAGACTTCCATTTTATTTCTTTCTTTGCATAATAGCTTCTTACCATTGAAGATTAAATTTGGAAGATTTTTCTTTTCCTCTAAAAAATAGCTCATGACTGAGTTTCTATTATATGTAATTTATTTACTTAGCATGATAAGCTAATTATCTGATTTTTTTGGTTGTTGTTGTTTAGAACAGGCGGCTTGTGCATTCGTGCTCACAGAATTTAGCAATGTCTATTCTGGGATTCTTTTATTGCTTCCAGCATTTTTAAATGCTTGTTTTCAACTGTCATTATGGAAATCACTTAAATAATAACAGTTGAAAGTGTATTGTATGATATGGTTGTCATGCTGGAGAAGATAACAAGAGTATTAGAGAAACACTTTTAAAGGTCTCTAATACTTTTCAAAAATGATAACACGTTCAATAAACACCAAGATTTAATTGTTCTATTAATGGTGAATGAACAAATAAAGAGGAGAATGAAGCTAGCAGCAATAACTGGGTGGTTTGCTATTATTTGTGGCACTGTAGAATAAGCACTGAACTGCTAGCCGCAAGGTCAGTGATTCAAATCCACCAGCCACACTCTGGGAACCCTATAATACAGGCTTGCTATGAGTCCGAACTGACTCGAAGGCACTTAAAACAGTAAATGCTACTGTCAGAATTACTTACGGTTGTTTTGAATCACACATGGGAAATAATAAATGAAAGTACTTAATTTTATAAGTACGATTAGTAACTAATTTATAATTATTAGTTATAATTGTTATATCAATTTAAACCAATCCTCAGTAATGTACTTTTTTTAAAAACATCAAACATCATGGAGGATGTTGTACTAATTTGGCTGTTTTATTAATTTTTTTCCCTTCTCACTGTTAGTTTTTTTTTAAAAAATACACATAACATAAAACCATTTTAAATATTTTAAAGTATGCAACCGAATGGTACTTAGCATATTGGCAATGTTATGTATCCATCACCACTATCTAGTTCTAGAATCCCCTAAAAGAACCCAGTATGGTGTTCTGGTGTGCCACTATAGGATAAGCACTGGGCTGCTAACCTCCAACATTAAAAAAAATAACAAAAATAAGCTTAGATTTTGCCAAGCAGTGTGGTAATAACTAGTGTTAACATTCAGTTCTGGCCTGTAACGCTTGAAGACAGACAAACAAGCAGTCACCTAAAAGAATTTATAGCTATTTCTTAGTTGTTAGAACAGTACTTTCTCTGTTAAAAGGAACCCTATACAGGGTCACTATGAGTTGGAACTGACTTGACAACACTTAACAACAACAACAACAACTTTCGGAAACAGATCACGCCAGACCTGTCATCCAATGTAACTGTAGTTCAAACTGCCAACCTTTTGGCTAGTAGTCAAGTGCTTAACCATCTGTGCCACCCTAGAGAACTGCTAGTGATTTAAAATGAACTCATAGGGGACAGCTGGACAGGATGTATGTAAACCACTCTTTGTTAAATGCTTAAGAGTGGGTTCTGACTCACAGAGACCCTGTGTAGGGTTTCAGAGGTTGTAAATCTTTACAGTAGCAGAAAGTCTCATCTTTCTCTCCAGGAGCAGCTGGTGGGCTCAAATTGCTGGCCTGGTGTTTCGAAGTCCAGTGCTTATTCTACAGAGCCACCCTCCTCAGCATTCCTTTGTTGCTGTTAAGTGCTGTCGGGTTGGTTTTAACTCATAGCGGTGACCTGTATTCATTCTTTGGCTTACCTTAGTCATTTCAACCTGTTTCTGGGCCTCGGCGAAAACAGCACTAACAGAATGTGCAGCCTGGGGAATCTGACCGTTGGGCTGCGCAGTACTGGGTTTATTAGGTCCTGAAAAGGAAGAACAGAGAACACAAAGATTGCAAAGCATTTCTAGTATTCTTGAAAGTTAATCTGAAAACAGAAAGTAGTTAATATCTCCAAAGTTAAAGAAAAGCAATTGATCCGCATGGTACATTATTCAGGCCTTATGAAGACATTTTAGCTTCTGTGGCAACACTTTATATGGTTCAGGGAAGTAAGTTAAATGTGGATTAACTGGGGCCCAGAGAATAGCATGTTCTGCTATTAAAAACCACTTGGTAATTGGAGAATAAACCCTGAAAATCTCTTCCTTTTGAATTCTTTTGTTGAAGATTTTTCTGAAATGTATTTCTCCAGTTTCAGAAATGGACAACTCTATAGAAGGGCAGAGGAGCAGGACTGAATCAGTGGAAGAAGACAGAACGAATACTTTGACAACACCAACTTCTTAGAGGAAAGCTATGAAGAAAAATGAACAAAGCCCAATAATTATTTGGGGTATAATAAAGAGAGAAAATTACATGTAAGAGTTCTAAAATAGGCAACAAACAAACAAAAAACCTGAAAACAACAATAACAAGCAACAGCAGTAAAAAAAAACCCAAAAACCCTGCACAGACCTTATCTGGAGAAGCAGTGACACCAGAGATGGAGGCAGAGATGAGGACTCTAGACTCATGGAAAGAGAAAGGCTGTGTGCTGGCGGCCAAGAGGCAGGCTTGCAGAATGTGTCCTTTGGTTGTTTAAATGATTATATATTCCTGAGTGTTTTTGTGTACATCCAACCCACCCCTAGCCTCCCCCCCGCCAAAAAAACAAAGGGAATGGAAACAAATACTGTTTAATGATGATACATGGAAGAGATTGTAATCATTTATGAAACGATGAGTGTAAAAGTGATGTTCTCCCATGCAAACTATCACTCAATTCACACACAAAAAAACCCTTAAAAACAAAAACACATAAAGAACTGTTGAAGATTTCCTGGCAGAAAACTTCCTAACATCATGTTAAGATGAGAGGACACCCACTCAAAAATCTCAATGAATCTCATATATAACAGAGCTCAAAAGAAGCCATCAAGATATTTCATAATCAAAACTTGTGAAAACCCGATGACGTGGAGAGATGGAGTGGCTGGGGACTCTAGACCCAGAGAGGGAGAGGGGCTGTGTGCTGACGACTGGGGGGGTAAGACTTGCAGGGTATACCCTTTGGTTGGCTGATGATGCATGGAAGGGATTGTAACAATGGCAATGAAATGATATATGATAGGATGAATGTAAAGCTAATGTTCT